AAATTCCACTTAGGGTTAGGGTTAGGTCACCATCAACTCGTAGAGCAAAATGGACATCGCCAGAAAATTCAGAGTACTTGGGTATGGTTAGGAGGGCACTGAGTTTTCAAGGCTGGCCTATCTCTGTTTCCTGGGAAAATACATGGGAAAATCTCGTTGGAGGAAAATAGCACTTAGGGTTAGGGTTAGGTCATCGTGAACCCGTACAACAAAATGGACATTGCCAATAAATTTGGAGTTCTAGGGTATGGTTAGGATGACACTGACTTTACTAGTCTTCCCTATCTATGTTTCCTGATAAAATATATGGGAAAATCCAATTGGAGGAAAAAAATGGGTATAAAATTCAGTGTCCTCCTAACCATACCCAATTACTCTGAATTTGCTGGCGATGTCCATTTTTCTCTACGAGTTCATGTGACATAGAGAGGGCATTGTAGAAAAGTCAGTGTTTTCCTCACAATACCCAAGTACTCCGAATTAGCTGTCGATGTCCATTTTGCTCTACAGGTTCATGGTGACATAACCCTAACCCTATGTGGAATTTTCCTCCAATTGGATTTTCCCATGTATTTTACCAGGAACCATAGATTGTGCAGACTAGAAAATTCAGTGTCGTACTAACCATACCCAAGCTGTCCGAATTTGCTGGCAATGTCCATTTTACTCTATGAGTTCATGGTGACCTAACCCTAACCCTATGTGGAATTTTCCTCCAATTGGATTTTCCCATGTATTTTACCAGGAACCATAGATTGTGCAGACTAGAAAATTCAGTGTCGTACTAACCATACCCAAGCTGTCCGAATTTGCTGGCAATGTCCATTTTACTCTATGAGTTCATGGTGACCTAACCCTAACCCTAAGTGGAATTTTCCTCCAATGAGATTTTCCCAGGAAACATAGATAGGTCAGCCTTGAAAACTCAGTGCCCTCCTAACCATACCCAATTACTCTTAATTTGCTGGAGATGTCCATTTTTCTCTATGAGTTCATGGTGACCTAACCGTAACCCTAAGTGGAATTTTCCTCCAATTCTATTTTGCCATGTATTTTATTTGGAAACATAGATAGGGCAGGGTAGTAAAATCAGTGTCCTTCTAACTATACCCAAGTACTCTGAATTTGCTGGCGATTTCCATTTTGCTCTACGAGTTCATGATGACCTAACCCTAACCCTAAGTGGAATTTTCCTCCAAAAAGATTTTCCCATGTGTTTTACCAGGAAAAGTAAGGCACCCTAGAAAGCTCATTGCCCTCCTAACCATACCCAAGAATTCCGAATTTGTTGGCCATATCCATTTTGCTCTTCTGGTTAATGTTGATTTAACCATAAGTTGAATTTTCCTCCAATTGGATTTTCCTCTGTATTTTACCAGCAATCAAAGATTTGCTCTAAAGTACAGGGTAGAAAAGTCAGTGCCCTCCTAACCATACCCAATTACTCTTAATTTGCTGGCGATGTCCATTTTTCTCTATGATTCATGGTGACCTAACCCTAACCCTAAGTGGAATTTTCCTCCAATTGGATTTTCCCATGTATTTTACCAGGAACCATAGATTGTGCAGACTAGAAAATTCAGTGTCCTACTAACCATACCCAAGCTGTCCGAATTTGCTGGCGATGTCTATTTTGGTCTACAAGTTCCTGGTGACCTAACCCTAACCCTAAGTGGAATTTTCCTCCAATGAGATTTTCCCATGTATTTTCCCAGGAAACATAGATAGTACAGCCTTGAAAACTCAGTGCCCTCCTAAGCATACTCTTAATTTGCTGGTGATGTCCATTTTTCTTTCCGAGTTCATGGTGACCTAACCCTAACCCTAAGTGGAATTTTCCTCCAATTGGATTTTGCCATGTATTTTACCTGGAAACATAGATAGGGCAGGGTAGTAAAGTCAGTGTCCTTCTAACTATACCCAAGTACTCTGAGTTTGTTGGCAATTTCCATTTTGCTCTACGAGTTCATGATGACCTAACCCTAACCTTAAGTGGAATTTTCATCCAAAAAGATTTTCCTATGTGTTTTACCAGGAAAAGTAAGGCACCCTAGAAAGTTCATCGGCCTCCTAACCATACCCAAGAATTCCGGATTTGTTGACGATGTCCATTTTGCTCTTCTGGTTAATGTTGATCTAACTCTACGTGGAATTTTTCTCCAATTGGATTTTCTCCTGTACTTTACCAGCAAACAAAGATTTGCTAGTAAAGTACATGGTAGAAACGTCAGTGCCCTCCTAACCATACCTAAGCACTCTGAATTAATTGGTGATGCCCATTTTGCTCTACAAGTTCATGGTGACCTAATCCTAACCCTAAGTGGAATTTTCCTCCTATTGTATTTTTCCATGTATTTTACCAGGAAAAATATATAAGGCCGGCTAGAAATTCTTTGATTAGTAGGGTACTGAGTTTTCTAGGCTGCCTTATCTATGTTTCCTGTTAAAATCTCATTGGCATAAAATTCCACTTAGTGTTATGATTAGATCACCATGAACTTGGAGAACAAAATGGACATCGTCAACAAATTCAGATATGGTATGGTTAATAGGGCACTGTGTTTTCTAGGCTGCCCTATCTATGTTTCTTGGTAAAATTTATGGGAAAATCCCATTGGAGGAAAATTCCACTTATGGTTAGGGTTAGGTCACCATGAATTCGGAGAATAAAATGGACATCACCAAAAATTTTGGAGTGATTGGATATGGATAGGATATGGATATGACTTTTGTATCCTCCCCTATGTATGTTTCCAGATAAAATATATGGGAATATCCGAAAGGAGCAAAATTCCACTTAGGTTTAGAGTTAGGTCAGCATGAACTTGGAGAGTAAAATGTGCATTATCACCCAATTCAGAGTGCTTGGGTATGATTAGGAGGGCACTGACTTTTCTAGGCTTCTCTATCTATTTTTCCTAGTGAAATACATGGGAAAATCCCATTGGAGGACAATTCGACTTAGGCTTAAGGTTAGATCACCATTAACTTGGAAAGCCAAATGTACATTGCCAAGAAATTCGGTGTGATTGGGTATTATTAGAATGGTAGTGACTTTTGTATCCTGCCCTATCTATTTTTCTTGGTGAAATATATGGGAAAAGTTCATAGGATAAAAATTCCACTTAGAGTTAGGTCCATTTTGTTCTCTGAGTTTCTAGTGACCTAAGTTTAACCCTAAGTGGAAAAGTCAGTAGCCTTCTAATGATACCCAAGCACTCTGAATTTGTTGGCGATGTCCATTTTGCTGTCCAAGTTCATGGTGACCTTGTTCTAACCCTAAGTGGAATTTTCCTCTTAAGGAATTTTTCAATGTATTTTACTAGGATACATAGATAGACGTAGATACAAATAACTGAAAATTATGCCCAGTGAAAGTAAATATGCTGAGGTTTGCCTATTAACTTCTAAGATGCAGTATATCTTCTTCTTTTCTTTTTCTCTTTCGGGAGAGAGAGAGAGAGAGGGGGGGGGGAGGGAGGGGGAGAGAGAGAGAGAGAGAGAGAGGGAGAGGGAGAGAGAGAGAGAGAGAGAGAAAAGGAAAAAAAACCCCTTTTTGTAGTTGCAACTAACCCTAGCTCAAATACATCCTTGTAATATCATTTTTTTGTTCTTTTCTTTTCCGTCACCTTGCCGTTGTGTCTCCTTCTGAAGTTGAATGAGATGGGTTTTTAGTTATCATTAACTGTACTACTATTAAAGATATATTTGTCCTTTATTATAACACCATACAACGGCAGGTTTTTTATTCACTGACATCACTGGAGGGAAATCAAATGACTGATGTTATTTGAAATAGAAGCAGTAGATGCAGGATAGGGATTGACACCAGGGACAGTAAATCTCCTGCTGTCGTTTAGTTCTCTGACAACTAAAGGGTGCTGAACTTTCACTAGGGAGCCACAGAAAGACAGAGATGGGTTATGCTATTTTGAAAAAAAAAAACCCTATAGACTAAATCAGAGGGAATCAATAATGAATATCTTTCATTACATTAGATGTAATACTGTCTCTTTCTTGCACATTTAAATGCTCAAATATATACAAATATTTTGAGCAGAAAGAGATACATATATTTGCATATTCCTGCTTTAAATTATTTATTTCATAGCTGTATTCATATTTAAAAAATTTAATATCATCTCCAAGATCCTGAAGATCAAAAACTACAAGATAACAGCATTTTCTGCTCACTTGATGCAGATTGGGCTGCAAATGTAATTTATTTCAATGGGTAGTAATTCCCAAAAAAGCATAATTACTGTGAGCTCTACCCCGAAGCTAAACAAACGAGAGATTACATAGTTTCAGCGAGCTTTTCGGTACCAAAGCATCAGACAGTTCCAATTTATCTTCATTTTCCCGTTTAGACATCGAACCATAAACCATTTGTTAGGCTGGGTTCCCATAAGCCACAATTAAAACCCTAATCATGTTTAATCCTACTCAGGCTTATTTATGTGGATGTATCCATCAGGGTTGTAACTGACTCGATGATATATTGTGAAGAGTCTGTATTGCCTTGAAAAAATAAAGACACCTAGCTTTAGATCAGCTGCTACTTGCGCTGCCGCCTTGTTGATACTCAAGAGTAACTATAACACAGAGGTCAGTCCTTACAGTTCGTAGGAAGGACTTTGAAAGGGACTCGTGACCCCTCAAAACCAAAGAGCATATATAGACGTTCTCTTGGATCTTGATGCGGGGAAAACCCTTTTTCCTCATCCTACCTCAACTCAGGGGCCTTCAACTTCCTGCTGTTCCTCCTTGTGGAGGCGGACCCGCTCGCCTTTAAAGGAAAGCCGTCTCCCCCCCCCCCCCCAAGAAGGGCAAAGCGAACTCGGCTGGAGAGAGTCGCGTTCCAGACAGAGGAAGACAGGAGACGAGGCTGTAGCCAGGCGATTTCTCACACCCCAACGCTAGCTTCGCAGAACAGCCCGGCGGACCGACCCCCCCCCCAAAGCTTTCCCAAGAATCTTTCAAGCAGCGGACGAGCCAGCGTCTCGCCTCTTCTTCCTTCACCCCATTTCTTCGGAAGCAAAGAGGACATTTGACTCTGATGAGACTTTGTTTCCTTCTTGAGGTCTTTGGGAAGAGAGAGCTTGATTTGGGGGCTCCTAGACCGAAAACTCGGCAGAAGGCCGTCGAGAGAGTCCCCGCTGCCAAGGAGCGATGCCACCGAGGTCAACAGAGTCCACGTGGCTCCACGGGACGGCGGCGGGCAACGACAGCGAGGCGACTGCTCCGGGAACATCATCCCCGCAGGGTGGGGCGGCCTTCGCCATCCGCTGCGTGATCCCCTCGCTCTACCTGCTAATCGTGGCCGTGGGCTTGCTGGGCAACTTCACTTTGCTGAAGATCTTCGCCGCCCGGAGCGCCGCCCGGAGCGTGCCCAACATCTTCATCTCCAGCCTGGCCGCCGGCGACCTGTTGCTGCTGCTCACCTGCGTCCCGGTCGACGCCTCCCGCTTCTTCCTCGAGGATTGGCTCTTCGGCGAGGTGGGCTGCAAGCTGCTGCCGGCCATTCAGCTTACCTCGGTGGGTGTTTCCGTCTTCACTCTCACCGCTCTCAGCGCCGACAGGTGAGTCCAGGAGCGACCGAGGAAAGTCCTCCAGAGACGGGAGGCGGGTGGCGGAAGGCAGCGGATCGGTGGGGGAGAAAACAAACGCCAAGCGCCGGGGGGGGGGGGAGCGCTGCAAGCTTTCCTGCCCACAGGCGATCTCTTGGCTGCCTTCCACGCCCTTAGCGAGGCGCCCACTTTTAACAGAGTCCGCTATAGTTGGGACGCCAATACATTTAAATGAATGAATAACCGACTAACAGAATGAAAAATGTTCCAGCAACAAGCCTTGTTGTTGAAGCTTCTTCTTTTTTTCACACTCTCAGACTTGAGAAGGCTGAAAATGAATCCGTGTCTGCTGGGTTGATTGGACTGGCCCTTCAGGAGTATTTATCTCATCTTATGTAACCTCACCCACAAGTAAATAAGGAGATCCATGCTCTTCCGGGAGTGCATCTATTGATTTTCTCTAACGACTTCAGCTGGAAGCAAATGAGTTCTTTGAATACACAGAAGTATGCTTAGAATTAACCTAAGTAATGTTAACAAGGGAGGTTTTAGGAATTCATAAAAAACCCTGTCCATCAACTGTGATAGATAACAACAGTTTCTATTTAGATGCAGTTTTTCCTTAAATGCTAATTCCGGGGAACAAATAAGAGCATTCTTGGCTTTGTTTTCACTTGAGCAGTTTCCAGAGGCATCTCCTATAGCTGGCCACGTTTGTAGACATATATCTGAATAAGACAAATGATCAGTCTCGTTCAGGAAAAATCTTATGTTCTTCTTAGCAATATTTGGCTCTTTATTAAACTGGGAGATAACTCTTCTACTCTGTTCCTAAGTAAACATAATATAAGCTGAAATTTCCACACAATATTTATGGAACTGAAATGTCAAGCAGCAGAGAACAAAGAACCAAGCAAAGTATGGCTAAAGATTGCCCATTTAGGGATAATTGTTTTACTTTAATACAAAGTTGGAAAAATAGAGGAGAAAATGATCACGATTAACCCAAGCACAAAATTAACATCACGATTAGACGATTCTTACCAAAATCATCAACAAAAGAAGACGTCTTATCCCCTTATGTACAAACTCATATAGTGATGATAAAAGGTGCTGGCATTACTTGTTTCCTTACTGAAATTTGGAAATATTCAGAAAATGTGTGAAGCCACTTTCTTGCATGAACTTCCTGAACCTGCAAGTTAACAGTCTATCTTGAAATGTCTCTAGATAAATATTAACAGGATGTTGGGCTAAAAAAAGTTGCCATCATTACTGGTCCTCTTTTCCCTCCTCAAAGGTAAATCATACAATCATATCTTTATTTTGAGGCTACATAATTTGAAAGCTCCCAAGTTGTTAGACAAGCATTGGACATTGCAACCAACTAAGCCCCAAGCTTTGAGACAGATGTAATATTGGGAAGACATAGGTGCCAACTTACACTCATTCATAAATGCACATGATTTCACCAATAAGAAAAAAAAAATGACAACTTGAATGACACTCAGTAAGTGGCATAGTAGCATTTGTCTTAGGGAGAATTGTTTGCAAAAATCAGGAGTGCTTTTTAATAATGTGATGTTTTGTCCTAGCACTCATTTCTATTTTGTGAGAGATGAAGATTGATGTCATAATTACATCACAGGGTTAAACCAATGCAAGCATGCTGAGAAATAAGTTCAGTAAATTCCTAGTGTACATAAAATCTTACAGAAAATCATATCTCTCTCTTCCTCAGTCTTAGGATGGCCTGTCCTTTGCCAAATTTGCTGTTTGCATGCATGTGCCATATAAGGGATACAATTGTGCCTTTTCTAATAATGATTGTCAGTGATTAATATGCACACTGATATATCTGTGCAACAGCAGATTACAGCATGCAAGTGACTGCAGGCCACTGCTACCTGCTCTGGCACAAATATTTATTTTACCAGAAGAAAAGTGATAATATTGTGTGTGTGTGTGTGTGTGTGTGTGATTTTTAAGATGGATTCAAGAACAAAATGTTCATATGAACTACCCACATCTTTTTCACTTTCTTTTTTTGTCCTAGTTTGATTCAGTTTTGAAGCTGGTGGTCTAAATGGTAATGGAAAAATCCAGCATTTTGAAAGAACACAGCTGAGCAATTTTACTAGTTTGAATATAAAAACATGATGTCTCTTATTGTTTCAAAAATGAACAATTCTTTGACTAAGTCTCCCATCATAGCTTTTGTTGCCCTAGCTAAAAGGATCCTGCTTGATATGTTTTTCATAAAATAATTATTTTAGGTAAGATAGAAAACAAACTTCATGTAAAAGAGAGGGTGTGATAGTAAACTGCATTCAACAGGGGTCAAGCCTAATTAGCTCTAACAGATGGCAACTTCACAGGACCATGTCTGATTCTGCAGTATTTTTTTCAATAGGAGGATCCTATTTGTTGTGTTACATTCAATAGCATCTAAAAAGAAATGGGATATTTTTCACAAAGGTTAATACTCATTAAAATGAGACAGTAAATGGGATAAGAGAGAGTAGATTACTGCATAAAGTAAACAAAGTAAATAAAGGATAATTTAGAATGTAATTTTAAGTAAAAGTTGACCAAACTAAATATGTATGTTGGACCACATTTAATTGAGACATGCTATATGAGTGCTTATGTGAATGAAGAACTGAAAGATTTAGAGCTCTACAAAGAAACCAAATGTCTGTTAAATCAAAATACTTTTAGTTCCATCGTTGGACTTTATCCAGATTAGCTATAGTTATGTATTCCTTATTCAAAGTGATAACATGTTGATACCACTTTCTACAAAATTCCTTTCTGAAAAAGTGCTCTGGAAAAAAATAACGCTTTTGGAAATACTGATAATTGAAAGACAAAGGAAAAGAAGCATCATGTAGCTTGAAAACTGCAGTTTTAGTAAACGATAAATTCCTTCTGACAAAATCATTGGGAAGAGATTTGTTGTTAAAGCCTTACCCAGGATAGCTCTAGAAGAATCTTATAAAATGGGATGTGCTGCAAAATACTCCATTTGATAGCCAGCCAGCTGAGTTTGTCCTCTTCTAGGAGATTCCACTTTGCTTTTGTATTTTTCCAGATTTCAGCGAGCACTCCTTAAGCACTAAGAGTATATATTAAGGAATGTATTAAGTAAGCAGACCTAGGACTAGGTTTAGATTTGCTCCTGAAAGGAACTGAGCCCTCTGATGATTAACAGATGTTAGTGCTTGTCACGTATCATTGTAGATAGTCCCAACTGTGCCTTGTTCCAGTCACAGCATATTGGGCTAATCATGCAGTGTTTCTCAACCTTGACAATTTTAAGGCACGTGGACTTCAACTCCCAGAATTCCACAGCCAGCAATGCTGGCTGTGGAATTCTGGGAGTTGAAGTCCATGTGCCTTAAAATTGTCGAGGTTGAGGAACACAGGGCTAATAGGAGTCTTTCAATGATAAATGCTGAGTGTCAGCACAGAAGCGGATCATGATGTGAACTATGTGAAAGGTGCCTGACTCCATTTTTCAGGTTCTGTTCTTCTGCCAGCAGAGGAATGGCACATAGTTGTGTGTACAACCATCAGGTAAAGGATATGCCACTTTGGTAGGATAAGAAGAATGCAAAGCTCTTGTGTGAGTGTGGGGGAAGGTGAAGAGATTTAAATTTTGATATGAAAGGGAACAACTGGCTGAGGCAGTTCTTTCTGGCTAGTTGGTAAGGATTGACACAACTATTGACCAGAAAGGTCAAATTGGGACTGAATGTTGCAGAGCTTCAAACAAATAAAATATGTCCATTTCTGTTATATTTTGCTATCTTAAAACTTAGATCAGCTTATTCAAGCCCTGCATTGTTTTAAGTGTGAGATAAGGTATGAGACCAAAGTATGACTTTGGTAATGGAATGACTGATCATTTAGAAATGACTTCAGTTTTTGAATGTTTTTTTAAAGGTATGGTTGATTGATTAACAATTCTTGAATTCTCCTTCTTTTTCCTTCTTTCCACAAACATTAGCATCTCTTAGAGTTTACTCCCCTTTAGTCTGGGTGGTGCCATTGTGGTTTCACAGTGATACTTACTTGAATAGATTTGTCATCAATACTTCTAATATGCCAGAGAAGAGAGGTTTGTACCTCAGCCCTAGTCACATATAATTCATATTATCTGTTTTACAAAAGGTGTTTCAGGACATGATATAAAAGGATTGGAAATGGAAATGAAACAGGAAAGCTGTTTCCATATGAAATGATTAACTAAAATATGGAGGTAAAAAAAATATCCCCAGAAAATATTCCTTCTAAAGACTATGATGTTTTGCATATTTAGTTACTTCTTGCATCTGAAAAATGAACTCAGATAAAATATGTACACTTGCAAAACATACAGTGCATATGCTTTATAGCTGTAGCCAGATTAAATTTACTTTTTCTTTAATTTTTTCATCTCTCACTGTATATTCTGATATCTAGAGAGAAACTAGAGAGGATAACCCAAGCAGAGCAAGAGTTTTGTCTGGATAAATAGGAAATCAGCCCTTTCTGTAATCATTTTTATCACTTTTCCATTATTTGTGCTTGTAAGAAAAAACTATGTAGATAAATCTTTTTCACTACTCGCTGTGATTGCCTATCAGGTGTCCATTGATTTCGCTTATCAGAATATCTCTCTCATTTCTTTCATTCATTTTTGATTCACTGAAAATGCTTGCAACTACAACCAACTCTATCAAACTGAAATCTTTTAAATGGTACCCACTAGAGGCACAACTCCAGAGAAATCCTGAAATAGTTCTCAATTTTCTTCATGCAAGCACTATTCCTTGTTGCAGATGGGGGATGTGTTGGTGTTCACAATGCAGTGTTAGTAAGCTTGTAAATGTAGGGATGATGTGTCTTTCATATATTGCTACTCACTCTGCAAATTTGTTTGAATCTGCAATCTAATTCTTAACTTTTTCCATGGGCTGTTTGAAGGAGCATAGAAACAAATGCCAATACTTAATCAAGTAATGCAAAGAA